AGTCAGAAGGAACGCATTCCAACTCAGATCTATCTGATCACACACAATTCTTGGAACCTTTTGTTTCACTTCAGTTTCTGAGGTTTCCTTCACTCTGCCACCTCCCTGCCAAGAACAGAAGCGGGGGGGGGGAGGTTAGAGGGAAAGGGGAAAAATGGGTGTTTCCTGCCTCAGGACAACTGCAGATCACTCATTTCTGGCTTCCAGAAACCTCTTTACTGAGCATTTATTTTGGCAGAGAAATAAACCTAGGGAGCCGGAGGGCATAGAGTGGTTCATGGCCACAATGTTACACTCTCAGTGGCCTTTTCTGCTTATTCTCTGCTTGCTCCTCCTTCAGATGTCAACGCAGGCATCATTTTCTCAGCAGCCTAAGTGTATACCTGACCTCCACACAGTGCCAGCAGTATTCTGCCATTGTCCCACCAAACAAGCTTCCCCCAGGAAGGACCACCAGCTGCAAGGTGGTCCAGGATAAGACAGAGCATGCCACAAACTTTCCTTTAATAAACAAATAAGACAACCATGACCTTTCTTTCTATATACACACACATACGCGTGCATACACACACTTGCCAATCAAAAAGATAGCTTTGTTAAGCAGCTACTTGCATAGGTTCTCATAAGAACTTATCAATATAAACCTTTTCCTTCCCTGCGTCCCCCGCACATTCACACTCTTTGAGCTCCTCCTGGTCACAAAACATTCTTGGAATAGGTTAATGAACAGTGTTCATGAACAATATGCTCCTAGGTCAAAGAGCTTAGCCACTAATTCTTGCAAGACGAATAAAATCTAACCTTTAACCTAGTCTTGTCCCCACTGCCAACTTCAGCCAGTCTCACCAGGAGCAGGGACAGATCAGGAGCAGCAAAACCACCTCATTGCCCCACAGAGAACCCAAACAAGAAGGCATCCAAGATCCATCCAAACTAAGAAAGAATCCAGAGACACCAGAATCGCAGACTGTGATGACTGGGGAGTTAGCCAGAAAATATCCTCTTTGAAAGGTCATTTGTTTGCCTTAGGAAGAGCATAGAAGATCTTTTTTCTCTAAAGCAGTATCAGTGGAAAATATTCTGATTTATGGTTTTCATATTGACAGACCACATGCTTTGACTTTTATTCAAAGACAATTGGTTGATATATCAAGGTTGGACGTTTCTGATGCACTTATTCTGTAAGTATAGAGACATCTGTCTCTGAATCCAATACCATGTTTTAAAACCTGACCATCATCAATTCAAAGTTTTTCTTCACAGCTACTTGAAAGTCTATTGGCTAAAAGTTAGATTATATCAATGACACACCTTAGAAGAAGGGGCTAACCTGTAATAAACATGTACTTCCCTGGTCATCTTTGGCATTAGATCATCTTTGGATAAATTAATATTTCTCAGATGCATACAAACTCTGTAAGGAGAGAGCTAGCCAGGCCGGTCTGGGGTGATACACCGGGGAAGCAGATGTAGGCTTTGCCATCAGACACGGATAATGCACCAAGAAGTTCACTGCCACTTGGCTTGAATAAAATGAAGAGCTGGGAAAGTCATTTCTTCTTGCTCTTTTCTCTGCAAAAAGTTCAAACAGCTGTCTTCTCTTTTAGGAACTCAGCCTCACCTCAACTTGAATTCCAAACACTCTAGTTCAAAGCAAGCTCACCTCATCTAAACTGTGAAGACATCTTTATATGGTACGGAGTATGGAGAAATTCATCACAGTGTCCTGTGTTCTCATGCGTGGGGCTCGCCCATCATTTATCACTTTATTATTCTGAAGTGTTCACAATAAGAAGAAGAATAATGGCTAACATTTATTATGTACCTGCTCCTATATCAAGGACACTTCAACATTATCTCAATCTTCCCAATCACATAGGGCTGGTGCCATTATAATTATCCCCATGACATAAAGGAAAAACAGGGAAATGAGGTACTTTGGCCATGGTTACATTGGGAGTCATTTTGATCCCGCCTCCTTGCACACAGATCCTGCCCTATTACATCAATTCTATTGAACCTGGCACAGAACTTTTGACACATACTGGTACTGACATAACTGATAGAAAAAAATGAGAATGAGAGTTCAAAATCGTGGTCCAGCAAATTAAACCACCACCTGTGTTATTGCCATTCCATACCAATCATATAGATGCCTGGAATGTCTTTCTCATTCTCAGTTATATCTGAGTCTCAGTAATGGGAAAAACCGTCTCCACTCTCACCCAGATAAAGAGCGCAGATGATAGAAGGCACAGAAACATGTGTTCCCAAACCTGACAACTTTGGTTTATTCTGGGCTGTACCCTTCTTGAAGTAAACAGCTTCAAACTCAACCATGGGGTCTGGCACGATGGCTCAGTGTCTAAACATTCACCTTGCACACACCTGGATCCCATAAGGGCACAGTAGAGGATGCTCCAAAGCCTTGGGACCTTACCCCCACTGGGAGACCAGAAGGAGGTACCTGGCTCCTGGTTTCAGATTGGTTCAGCTCCAGCCATTGTGGCCACTTGTAGAGTGAACCAGTGGATAAAATATCTCTTTTTATTTCTCCTTCTCTCTGTAAATCTGCCTTTCCAATAAGAATAAAAGAATCTTAAAAAAAAAAACTCAATCACAGATGTTTCCTACCATTCTGAGAATCACTCCAGAGAGAAACATCCAATGGCAGCCTTCTCTTGAGATGTGTGAGTAATTACAGAACACAGGAAGAGAGGAACAACCACAGAAAGACCAGGGGCCATCAGCTCTCCTCCCACGTGAGTCTTCTGCCTGACTCAGCATTGTGTGCAGTATTGTGTAGGACAGGGTGCTGTTCTATATTCCTCCAAATTCATATGTCAAAATCCAATCCCTGACTGATGGTATTTGGAGATGGAGACTCTGAGAGATGACTGCAGTTAGATGAGGCCTGAAGGTGGGGCCTTCATGATGTCCTTAGGAGAAAGGACCACAGAGAGCTTGCTCCTTTTGTCTCTCATTTACACAAAGAGGCCATGTGAGCACACAATGAGATGGCGGCCACCTACAAGTGCCCTCACCAGGGTATTGGTTGGTGCCTTGACTTTGGACTTGGCAACCTCCAGAGCAGTGAGGTTTCACTTCTCTAGTCTATGGTATTTCTCATGGTTGACAGAGCGGACAACAGAGGGTGTCTAAGATCGGAGTTCAAATCCTGATTCCACTGTTGAGTTGTGTGACCTTGGGCAGGTAATCTAGTTTGTCTTCTCCAGTTTTCTCATGTGTGAACTATGTTATAGTGAGGAGGGATGAACAAGAAAGGAAGCTGGAGTCATCTGAGATTCTATACCCCCACCCTCAGTCCCCGACCGTGCCTCCCCTAGGCATGCTACAGCTGATTCGCTCCACAGATGTGTTTTGTTTGGCCTGCATCAATGTTTGGTGAAATTCGGAGTGTCTGCCAACGTTCAAAATCAGGAAATGTCAAATAAAAATCTCTCCTTCCGGTTCTTCTTGAAGAATAACATGGTATGTCTTAGGACCTGTGCCTGGTGGCCTGCTCTCAGGTCTCGCCTTGCAGCAGAGGGTGGCACCTCATTCCCATGCACCCAGTCCAGCTTTATCCGCTTAGAAAACCGACCTGGCACCTGCAAGCTTCTGAGGCAGCAGCCCCCAGGCTAACAGGGCCGGCATAAACACAAGGCTGGGCCTGTACTTTTCCTGGCTGCCCACAAACAGAGCTTTTAAGTACAATTTCAGGATCAGAGTTACCTAAAGGGAGGAACAATTAGCACATTCCTGAGTCACTGTTTTATTTATTTATACTTCTATTGTGAGCTGAAAACCCGCATGGAAAGGCCCAGATGGTTCTTGGAGTAGAAATAGAACTCGTAGAATTCGGGGATCAGCTGGTCCCTCTTTGCTATCATTCAGCTCCTTGGGGCCTGTTTCCTCCTCTGTGAAATGAGGTCATGCACTAGATGACCTTTTTTGTCTGTTTCCACATTTCTGTGCTTACGATGCAAAATTCAAGCACATGGGTAGATATTTAACACAACCCTGTATATTTATGAGCTCCAAAGCTTTTAATGAAAGCAGAGGTCTTAAAGCCTCCCAAAGACCCTTAACACAGACCTTAACTAAATGTAAACAGGACTTGAATGATGGCCTTGTTTATTGTTCTGCCCACTCCAGGGCTGGGTTTGTGACTTCGATAAAACTCCAGACAGAGATAATGCCAAGGCATCAGAAGACCTGATGGCTCAGCCTCCTATTCCTAGGAGACCCCAGTTCTCTGAGCCCAAACACAAACTCCCCACCATACAACACACTTGTCAGTGCCCTGTGCACATGCACCTTCTTCCAGTTTCTTGCCATGGCAACCACAGGACCTATGCACTTGCAGGTTCTGTCACCAGAATCCCTCTTCACTCAGCTAATTCCCACTGAGTCTTCAGTGACAACATACCCGCTGAACCTGCCTTCCTTGACAAGATCAAGTCATGCTAATTTGGGCATTCATTATATCAGTTGCTACAACATCACAAGAGCGAGGTTGTAGCAGCCTCACTGTTACATTCTATATGCATGATCAGTTGCATAATGATTATCACCTAAACTGAAAATAAATGCATGCCAGGAGAGCAGAATCTTCATTTGTCTTTGTTCCCTGTTGGCTCTCTTAGGATCTGGCCAACAGGGAGGCATTCTGATACTTGTTGGGAAGTCCTTCATGAACAGGAAGAATAGCAATAAATCCCAAGTAGTCCCATTCCAACTAGTAAGCAACATCATTCATCAGAGCACAAGAAGTATTCAAAGAATAAATGCAGCCACTCTGCATCAACCCTCTGCCCTCACTCCTCATCACATGACAAATAGGTAAGCCATCCTTGGGCCAAGAGTCAGAAGTAAGAAGGATAATGAACAAATTCAAAGAAACTGGGCAAGAATACAGCAAAAGGTTTCTGGTGGTGTGGTCCTATCCATTCTCATTCAGGCCCACAGGGGGAAATGGCTCCAGATTTTCCACATACCTGATGCTTTCATTCAGTGCATAGAGCTCGTTGCTTTGCAAACCGCCCCCTTTGAAAACATTGATCACTGCAGTCTGGACACTGCAAAGAAATCAAACAACTCAAGGTTAGAGACTTGAACTTCTGGGGCCACATCAGCAAACAGCTCAGGAATCAAGGGAGATGGAAAACCCACAACACCGACATGGCCGTGTTGTCCATCAGTGGATCTGCCATTTCCTTCTCAGAGGCTTCGGAGGGGATAGAAGTCTTAAGACTAAAGAACTCCAAAGTAGTATCTATTTCCTCTCTGGCTCACTAGCAGCCCTATTGACACCAGTACAGAGCAGGCAGTGGGAGCTGCCCTAGCGAAATCAGGGTGTCAGAACCTCAGGGTCTGGAAGAGACCAATAATGGAACATATTGCAAGCAGGTGAGAGCTGACAAGGGCTGAGGACTCTCACACCTACAAGACCACTGTCTTCAACTTGCTGGGCCAATGCAAAATGGTAATCCCATTAACACTTTCCTTGGAAGAATTTTCTGTGGGCGAACTTGTATGGCCCCTTCCATTCTCTCACTTGTGCAGTGTGTAGGCTCCCTCCCCTGTGGGCCAATTAGGACCTTGGATTCTCAGGGGCATCAGCATGATAGGACAGCAAAGAAGCTGACTACAATTCTGTCCATTCCAAGGGTCCTGGGGCTTTAAAGCACAAAGGCACGCCGAACACCCAAACATTTCAGAGCTCCCTTTCCAGCCCCATCTTTATCTGTTCCATTCGTTGGAAAACTCCAATAATGTCCAAAGTCACAGAGAATTCAGTAATCTTGGAAGGAAGGATCCAAGGGGGTCTACACACTTTTGAAAAGTGGCCACAAGAGTCCAAGATACAGTGAGTGCACAAGGCTTGGTTATAGGCTCCACCAGACGTTTACAAAAGTTAACAGAAGTTCTCAGCTCCTCTCCCACACACCTGTGGTTCACAGGTATTGATAGTTTCTGCTTGATGTCATTCATTCAGCTTTCCACAGATACATATAAAGTCATTTCTATACATTTGGCCAGAAAAGACACACAAGGATACTTCAGCTGAGCTTATTCTTGGTGTCAAATGACTTTGAAATCCAGACAGTGTTTTTCATCAGACAGATTTCCCATAAACTTTCTTTAGGGTCATCATATATGACCTTCAGTTTGAATATTCTGATAGCCTGGGATGTGACTAATAAGTATGAACATTAACCCTAAATTCCAATCTAACTGTCAATGGCTGGCTAACTGCCTCTGATACGACAGAGGCTCTTGGTGGGAAGTGGGGGAGAGGAGCTTGTGTCCTGGCTTCTGGAATGGAGGAAGGTAGCAGTTATGTTGGATATAAGGAAATTGCCTTTTTGACCCTTTGCCCTGTAATGACATTCCAGAACAGAAATGCCACAGTGGCAGAAGGCCAGCCAGGCCATAAATGTTGCCCGACCCTGCTCTGGCCTTCACAGCCCTCCACCTCATACTTGTCACCTCCTTTACCTGTTCCAAGCTGAGTTGGAGCTCAGCTGCAAAGCTTGCCGGGTGGCCTGGAATCGAGGCAGGTCGCTGAGCACCGGGGAGCTCATGAAGCGTGGTCTGGGCCTGCGGAAGGAGCCCATCTTGTGGAACTCGACAGGCAAGCTGGGAGCGAAGCCACGGGTCATAAGTCCAGGGGAAGTTTCAGCTTCACCTGTAAGATGAGAAGCTTCCAGCTGCCCAGGGGAAGCACTTCTAGGGATGCCTGCTGGGCCTCGGGCACGTTGCTGAGACCTCTAACTCAGCCAACACCTGAAAACAGAAGGCAGCCTTGATTAAAAACCCCTGGGCTGAAGAACCCACACCCTGGAAGAGTTGGCTGGGAGTTTCCCACCACTCATCCTCCCATTCACAAGTTATTACAGCTCTCTTTCTAGTTGTTAAAGGGTAGTTGCCTCAGAGAGGGAAGAGACTGACAGCAGGGCCAGGTGGAAGCCAGTGCTATGGAAAAGCCACCCCTAGCTGTGTTTGATTCTGGTTGCTTTGGGCACCAGCTGGGTTTCTGCAGCCCACAAGATTGTGCTTTAATAGATGGCTTTTTAAAGATGTCGAGAGACAAGAGCTCCTTGTCCTGGCTCTGAAAAGCTTCCATGATGTGCCCTTCCTCCGTTGTCCTAGGGCCTCAGTTGCCCTTTACTGGGCAGTACCTCCTTATTTCCTTACCTCCCATTCCTTCATTCATTCCAACAGTTGCCAAGTGTGCACTATTGATTAACCAGTAAATTTCTAAGTCCTTCTAGCTGGACTCAGAGGCTCTGGAGAAGATGACTGTATGTTTGTCTTCATTCATGCATCATGCATTTATTGTGCATCTACCATGGCACCAGGTCCTTGCTGCAGCACTGGGAGATACAATCACAGCTCTGGAGACCATGGCATACCCCATGTGCTTCAACCTACAGGCCTATTCCAGGCCATTCTTACTCCTTTCCCACGCTCTTGATCATACTGATTGTTCCTTTTACCCAGAATTCTCTTCCCTTTTTTCTCTGCTTATCTAAATCCAAGTTCAAGGATACCACCCCTTGGCGTGGTCATAAGAGACTTTATGGCTTTGTGGTTTAGGCATTCGCTTTGGGGTGAACCTGGGTTCAAACCTTAACCTGGCCACTCCCAAGGTGTGTGACTTGGGACATACTGAGTCAAAAGCTCTCAGCCGCTCACAACCCCAACACCACAGAGCTGGCCAGAGCTGAGATGTGCTTCGGCGGCATGCTCAGCAGAATGGCATGCTGAGCAGCATGCCCTTTCTCACCTTGGCTCCTTTAGACCTGGGATCTCAGCCTCCTGTTCTTTACTGAACATAAAATCTGAATGATTAACTTCTCACGAGCTCTGGAGCTCAACAGACAGAAGGATGGAAAGAAATACCTCCAAGGCTATCGTCACTTCTGAACAGTTCACAAGGTTTAAGCCAGAAAGTTTCTTGCTGCCACCTCTCCCCCCAGTGAACTCTCCTACATCCCTGAAACTAATGGTAAAATAAGAGATACTCCAGCCATAAAGGCCCCGGGACAGGTGGGAAGGGAAAACAGCTTGGCAACATCAGTTGTTGCATTTGAAGGAGGAGGAAGAATGGTGCCAGTTCCAAACTAAACTCACTGCTGTGGCAGGAAGAGGACCTGGGCTTTGGCAGAGGCACTGCGGCAGTCCACGGGGGTGTGGGAGGTGCCAGCAGCCAACTGTGAACAACAGTTACAGTGGCAATGAATTAGATAATACTAGGTGCCAGAGATGAAATGGCTTGCCTCTTCATTGTTTTTTAAAGGAAGACAGACCCTGGGCCATTTTCTTGCTCCCTGTCTGCCCAATCCTCAGAAGAAGCCAATAGTTACTGAAACGGACCCCAATTAAAGCGGGGGAAGTCACAACAGGCCTAACTTTCAAAGAGAGTCTCAACAACTTCCCAAAGTGCCTCAGAATCTGGAAAGGTCTATGCAGATCAGCGGAAGCGGTAGAGAAGAACTGAAACCGCAGATTCCCCTTCGGAAGCCTTGAATTGGCCCAGAAAAGATCACCCCATTACAGCAGGACTCGTTTCGCTCCTCTTCTTTACATGTGCCTACTAAGTACTGCTCATCTAGGTAATTACAGGATATGAACGCCTTTTATGAGGATCTTAAACTTGAAGAGACGGAGCTGCCTCCCACCCCGTGGCACCAGTCCAGGGAGGCAGACAAGGGAGCAGAAACGCCTGTTCCAGGCCCTGGCCTCCTGCCTCCCTGACGAAAAAAACCCATGGCCCCAGGAGGCTGTGACATCCTGAGGCTCTCAGGCAACTCCTGTCCCCACCCATGTCTCAGCCTGTGACACCTACCCCAACACAGGGGTGCCTTTTTCCCTGCAAGGCACATGGGGAGCCCATACACACACACACACACACACACACACACACACACACACACACACACACACACACACACACACACACACCTTCTCTTCAGGAAGGGTAAGTTTCAAGCCAAAAGTGGCTACCTGCAGCTCCCGTGGCATTAAACTGCAGAGTCGCACACAAGCAAGAAGTGGCCTCTCCTGTCTCACCTCGCAGATCTGCCCTTCCCAGACGCTGACAGGTGAGGCTGGCTGGATGTGAAGCCTCTGTTGTATTCTGGTGACCCTCCCCAGATCCCCCACAGTGAGGGACTGCTGACCAAAGTGACTTCATGGAAAAAGTGACAAGTGCTGTATCCACCTGCCGCAGCACTGCTGTCTCAGACACAGGCTGGTTCTGCCCCATGTGTGATGAAGCAGAGAAGCAGACAGGTCCTATACACGGAGGATGAAAGCACAACCAAGAGGCCATCACAGTGCTGCTGTCTGCAGCAGCAGCATCTCATGTGGGTGCCGACCTGAGTTCGAGCTGCTCTACTTCCTATCCAGCTCCCTGTGGATGAGCCTAGGAAAGCAGCCAAAGATAACCCGAGTGTGTAGACTTTTGCATCCATATGGGGGACCCAAGTGAAGCTCCTGGCTCCTGGATTTAGCCTAGGTTTGCTCTGTCCCATGTGGCCATTTGGGCGGTAAACAAGCAGACAAGCAGATGGAAGATATCGCTCTCTCTCTCTCCCCCTTTAAACCCCCCCTTTCAAATAAACAAATCAAATCTTTAAAAAAAACAAAAAAGGTGGGGGGAGGCAGCAAAGGAGCAAGGAAACTTGTCTAAGGTGACCACGGTAGAAGTCAGATTACTAGACACCTGATCTAGAAAGTTCACCAGTCCACACCAAGGCCATTCTGCAAACTCCATGGAAACAGGCACACACTCTTCACCATGCCTCAATCCCTAAGCCTAAAGTCACTGCTTCAGGTAAAGACATGGGGAAAAGGAGACTTAACCAGGCACCAAACACCTGCCCAGCATGGTGCCAGCTCCTCTGCCACAAGTAGAGGTAAGGCATACAGTTAAATGCAAATCCCTGAGCACGGTTGGGATCACCCAGCTCCCCAGCCCATCCCCACTCAGCCATGCTATGAAACTCAACCAAAAACCCCCACTGGAAGTGATCATGTCAGTCAGGAGTATCAGTCCAAAGAGCTCATGTTAAATTTCGTGGTTCTGAGACAGATCAGTCTCCCTCAAGGAACTCTATGACTATATCAGATGGGGCTAGAGGAGCAGGGAGAGAAAAACCCAAAGGAAGACAGCACAGAGGATCTTAGAGAGTCGTCTAGCCTTCACTTGCTGTGTGGCCTCAGGAAAGAGACTTGCCCTCTCTGGGGCTGGATTGCCTCCCACAGGAAAGCAGCACGTGAACTCCATGACCTCTGGCTTGGAGGAGGATTAAATAACTAAATATTTACAAAGCACTTAAAACAGTACCTGGCAGATAGCTGGCACTGCCCAAGTGCTTCTTCAATACAGAAAATCCCTTACTCCTGTTTTTCTATCTGCCCATTTGCTTACATATTATATTGCATGTGAATACCCACATACGTCTATAACATGCCATGTGTAAGACCTCCGCTGTTTCCGGCAGAGGTGTTGGAGTTGTGTGTGTGCTGTCCTGACGGTTACAGGCCCATGTGTGACCGTGGAGCACTTGAAATGTGGCAAGTGCAACTTCAGGAATTGAATATTCCTTTAACTTTGAATAGCCACAAGCATGTTCTCACACACATCATGCTTCAATTGTTCTTTTCCTTTTAATAGCACTTCATGGCTATCTTTCCATGTCATTATATTATGACCTACCTTAGCATTTGTGATGGCAACTTAACTATGCCAATTAAGGGTTTAGTCTCAAAAGGAGAACAGCTGGGTTTAAGGGCCCAGTAATCCTTAGCCAGCCTTGCTCTGTGACTCGTACCCCCACCCCCCCCCCCCCCCCCAGTTCATAAACAGCAGAGCAAAAAAGGAGTCCAGGATCACAAAGCTCACAGCTTTCACGGGTGAGGAGCCATGTGTCTGCCCCACTGAGGCTGCACTCAACCCTGGCATCAACCATAACTCTGTCATTCACTCACTATGGCAGACAGAAAAAAAAAGATGTGATGAAGTTCAGGGTCCAGGTGGCAACCCTGTAGATCATTATTAGGAAGATGCAGGGTCCACAGCCATGCCTTAGTGAATAAAGCTGCCACTTCCAGTACCAGCAGCCCATATGGGCAGTTTGAGTCTTGCCTGCTCCACTTACGATCCCTCTCCCTGCTAATGCAACTGGGAGAGCAGTGGGAGATAGTCCACATGCTTGGGCCCACTGCATCCTCATGAAAGATTCAGAAGCTCCTGTCACCTTGCTCCCAGCTCCAATGTGGCCATTTACAGAGTAAACCAATGGATGAAATACCTCCCTCCATCTCCTGCATAACTCTGCTTCTCAAATAAATAAATCTTTTATTTTAGAAAAATAAATAAAGGAGATGCAGAAGATCAGACACAGAGAGGAGATACAGCCACACATGGAGGAGAAGGGATGTGAAGATAGAGCAGAGGCCAGCCACCATCCGAAGCCACCAGAAGCTCAGAGAGGAGAAAACACACGGTCTCCTGGAGCCTCTGGAGGGAGGACAGCCATGTCCAAACCTTGGCTCCAAACCTGTATGAATACGTTTCTGTCATTTTAAGTGAAAGCCACAGAGATTATTCAATTTGTTATTGTGGCCACACAGAACTAATACATTTTCCGTGCAGTTTTGATAGACTCTGAACTACAGTTTCCAAGTCTGAAAAGAAGGAATAGAACATCACTAAGGAGAGATGCGACGTGACAACCTGAGAGATTTTCTGCGAAGCACTTGACATGGCTCCTGGA